TCTTCAAGCACCGAATTCATTCCCCAGTCCCTCCTAAAACTTCTCTCTTGCTCTCTCTCGACTCATTGCTCTGATTGCTACCTCTCCCACTCTTTGAATTGTATTTCTTTTTCTCCTGCTCTTGAATTTAAATCTAACCTTAGACACTGATCAGCTGTGTGACCTTGGGCATACCACCTAACTTGTGCCTGCCTCAGTTTCCTGAACTATAAAATGAAGATGACAATAGTATCTCCTTCACAGTGTCGTTGTGGGCATCAAGTGAGGTAATATGTGTAAAGTGCTTGGCACAGTGTCTGGGGTACAGTAGGTGCTTAATAAATGTTTGTTCCCTTCCTCCCTTCCCATACAAACCCTGTGCTCTCCTATTTCCATACCTTCACTCTCAATGTTTCTTATGCCTTAATGTCCTCTTACTTCTTTGCCTGTTAAGTTACTATTCAGCTTAAATGCTGTCTCTTCCCCAAAATCTTCTCTGATTCCCCCAGTGGGTCAGGGTCATCTCCCCGGGACCTTAATTTGTTCTCAAACTCTCTAATGTACTTACATGTAATTACATGCAATACTATATGTTATCTCTACCTGTGTTGGTGGCTTGTCTTTAATTAGGATCTTAGATTTAGAGCTAGACCTTAAAAGACCCTAGGTTGACCCCCTCATTTTACAGACAAGGAAAAAGATGCCTGGAGAAGTTAAATGCCTTGCAAGTTCACATAAGTAACAAGTCATTAGGTATTGTGGGTAAAATAAATAGTGCAAAACACAGCTCTTACATTTGGAAGAATTACAGTCTAAGTGGGAAGGAAGTATATGAATATCAAAGCTTTCATATTTAGCTTGGTAATGGTGGACCACAGTTTGAAGATAGGCCTGTGCTCAAGTATTCCTGAGCCCAGAGATAGAACTAATATTTATGATGCCAGAAGCAAAGCTAGTTAAATGTCACCAACCCCTCATCCCTCTCCCCACACCACCTCCTCCTGAACACATCTTTGCCTGAAGTTCCTGTATACCTCAGGGACACTTCTGGCTCCCCATACCCCTTCATTGGTATTCTCCATTCTCTAGGCTCATTACCCGGATTGCTGTTATCACCACTCTTGGAATTGCATTTCTTTTCCTCCTACTCCCCCACTTTTTATAGCATCTCAATCCACAATGGACACATGTAAGCTAAGGTCAAGACCATGCTTACCTACCCCTACACCCTCTATAACTCCACGTTAGAAGCTTTTAAGGTCTCTCATCAGCCTTTCCATGTTTGAAGAGTTTTGCGGCCTGAAAAGCAGGGTGATGTGGTAAATTGAGCGTCAGTCTTAGAGACAGGAGGATATGGGTTCAAATCCTGCTTTTGATACCCACTAGCTGTGTGAGGTCTTTTGGACCTCAGTTTTCTCATCGATAAAATGGAGATAATAAAACCTGTAGCACCTATCTCACAGGGTTGTCATGAGGATCAAATAAAATGATATACATAAAGTACTCTGCAAACTTTAAGGTACTGTGGAAATGTCAGTGATTATTCTGTGAGTGTGTGTATATTGGTGATAGAGTGGGATAAGATAGGACTGAGAAAGCCCTTCCATGTGATATGAGGAATCTCCCTGCCTGCACAGCAGACTTCAGGTTTTCAAAGGTCATAAACTCGGGGATCTTAGAGATCATCCAGTTGAGGGGTCTTTAACCTTTTCTGTGTCCTGGATCCCTTTGGGAGTCTGGGGGAGTCCAGTGCTTGACAGAGTGCCTCACACACAGTTGCTGTTTGTTCTCAAAGAGGACCACGACATCAAGGAGGTGGTGGTGCCGTGACATGCAAGTGAATTGGATTTAAGTGAGGAAGGGCTGTGCAAAGTCACCAGCCTCACTGTCTCCTTCAGAGCCGTCTAGGTCTGGTGGTAAATTATAGATCAGGACAACAGGAGGTGGCCCAGGATGCAGTGGGGGACCTTGGCCTTTTTAAGCTAAGGTCTTTAACAGGTCTCAGTTTGACTGAGGTAACACCCATTCAGTGATTAAGGCCAAATAAGAAATGACGCAGGGAATGGCCTCATTACTTAGTTAAAAAAAAATCAATCTGGAGAGGAAGACTTTTAGGGTTTCTGGCCAAAGCATAAACAATTGCTATTTACATTCACTTTGAGCCAATCAGCTCACACTTAGTAAGAGTTTCATAAATGCTTGTTGACTGGCAGCACCCATTCTCAGAATAATGTTTGTTGCTTACATTCATAGTTAAAGAAAATAGCAAATTTCAGTTAAAGTTTAGTAAAAATAAAGTGGAATTTTTTTCCCATGTAAGTTTTACAGGCCCTGTGAAATCTATCCATGGACCAGTTGGTTAAGAATCTCTGATCTAGTCCAAGGCCTTGATTTTGTTGATAAAGGAACTGGGGCCCAGATAAGATGATTGACTTATTCAAGGTTATACAGATAGTAACAGAGTTGGCAGGGAGAAGCCAGAGTTCTTTCCTCTGGACCTACTGTCTTATAGGTGGTCAGGCCTCTTGTGCCTTCTTCCACTCTCAGATAATGTCATATAGGTGGCTGCCAACCAGCCTTGCTCAACCCCCACCCCTGACCCCCACGTATCTCCTTTGCAAGTTCCATATTTCTCATTCACAGTTAGAAGGGAGCTCAGAAGCTTTCTACTCCAGCTCATATCTGAGTAAGAATTCTATATACATATACCTGAGAAGTGTTCCTTCTGCCTTTGCATGAAGACTGTTAATGAGGGGGTCCCACTATACTCCACCATCCCATTCCACTTTTGGATAGTTCTAATCATGAGGTAGTTTTTCCTTAAGCCAATCCTAAATTCACACCTTCTTCCTCTTTCAGGCAAAAATCTACCATTAGGGACCCTTTCCATTCTGTAGATTAATTTGTAGATCAGGACATTTTTACAAACACCTTTTCTGAAGCCAAACACATGCCTTCCTAAGACAACTACAGGCAGACAGTTTCTCATCAGCTAAATGGCAGACCATTTTTCGTCTGGCTGAAAGTTGGCAGAAAGCTTCTTCTGTTCCCCACCCTACCCCCACTCCTGTGCACAAATGGGTTTATGGTTTCAAGGTGTGAATTGGTTCCACCAAGCAGCATAATTAAAACCAAGGTCAGCATTAGTTTTTCACAACATAATTAAGCCAACTTGGCACCTGAGCAACAGACAGCTAACTACCTTTCTCCTCTCACCTTCCCAGCTTGGTGCATGCCTTGCAAATTACTTTATTAGGTTAAGTCATATAGCTCAGAGACTCGGCTTTGGTAGAACCCTCCAGTTGGAAGCTGTCCTGCCGTAATAGTTGGGTTCAGGATTTGGGCAAATAAAATCTAGAAGAAGGGATTTGAACAAAGCCCTTCACAAAGTTTCTCCTACTGTTTTTGTGGAAAAGCCAGGGAGACATGGCCTAGCTGGTAGTTTGATTTGGTAGATTTGGAAATGGTGTAATGGCTGTATTCTAAGACTATCATTAAGGGTTCAATGTCAACATGGAGGAAGGTCTTTGGTGCTCCAGGGATGTGAGTTTGGCCCAGAGTTGTCTAACATTTTCAGTGATGATGACTTGCCTAAAAGGCCAGAGGGCTTGCTTATCGAGTTTGCAGATAACACAAAGCTGGCAGGCTAGCTAACACATTCGATGGCAGAGTCAGGGTCCAAAAAGATCATGTCAGGCTAAAACACTGAGCCAAATCTAAAAAGATTTAAACTAATAGAAATCAATGTAAAGTCTTACACTTGAGGGTTTTTTTTTAAAATCAAGGTGGGAGATAGTTCATCTGAAAACAGTCTTGGGGTCTCAGTGGACTGCAACATGAGCCAACAGTGAGATACGGGAGCCCAAAAAACTAACTTTTTGGGGGCTGAATAAGAGAGACATAAAGGTTGATAAGACCATGACAATGACAGTTGAATTGTCCTCTGTCCTGTTCAGGCTACATCTGCAGTATTGTATTCACTTTGGGGGTGCCATATTTAGGAGGGATATTGAAAAGCAGAAAAGCTTTGAAAGGAGTTCAAAAAGGCCTTCAAATTATGCCATATAAGAATCAGTTGAGGAAACTGAGGATGGTTAGCCTGGAGAAGAGAAAATTAAGTGGACTATACTTTGAGGGAAGGGATTCTGAGATGTGAGTACATAGGTTTGGGGTATGGCTTGATTATTGCATTCTTAATCTTTTAAGAAATGTTTTATTTTTCCCAGTTACATGTAGAGGCAATTTTTGACATTCCTTTTTTTAAATGTTGAGTTTCAAATTTTCTCCCTCCCTCTCTCACCTCCCATCTCCCTAAGACGGTAAGCAATTTGATATAGGTTATATACGTGCAATCATGTAAAACATTTCCATATTAGTCGCGTTGTAAAGGAAGAAAGAAACCAAAAGAAAAAAAAAAGAAAAATATTGCATTATTAATTTGATAAATATAATAATAACCAGGTTGAGATACAGGAAAACACTAATATATACTATCTGAGTCATTCCTCATAATAACCCTGTGAGGTAGAGATTTAACAGATGAAGAAACTGAAGTTCAGAGAGTTTAAGTAAGTCATCCAGGGTCACACAGTAAGTGACAGAAGTGAGGCACAGAGTCAGGGTCCTTCCCACTCCTCCTATAAATTACATGGGGGTGGTCATGAGTTATGGGCCTCTTTTTATACTTCAGAAATAATTTCCATAGAGTGTGTTAAGTTATGTATTTTCTCCTCAGGAGTTTTATCACTCTCCAAAGTTCTATTTTAACTCAGGATCTGGTATTTGTCATCCTTTTCTGATTCCCTCCAACTCCAAATCTGTTGGGGCCTTTAAGAACTTCATCCTGCATTTTCTCAGTTTTTGTGTCTGTTGGCTGAGATATGCACTCTCCTTGCCTTCAGGCACCTCTAGGGAGTTTCCTAAGATTATTGATGAGGGATCTGTGAACCCAACTCTATCAGCTGCACGAAGCCTCCAAGCCCCTAATAGATGAGTTTGTCTCTTGTCTCTTATCCCTGCAGAAAGATCAGAAGGACCGGGACTGGCAACCATACTTGCATTTCCTAAGTAAGCCAGATAGCCAGAATGAACAACAGATTCGTCCAGGCTATTCAGCCAAGAGGTACCTCTTCAGCCTCTTTCAAAATTGGACTTCAGGCACTTTGTACAAACTTCAGTGTTCAGGTCAGTGACGAGATTGGTGAGTGAGGGGAGTGTGGATAAACCTAACCCAAATGTCCCAGGGTTATTGTTGTGATTCAGTCTTTTCATTCATGTCTTGTGACCACATTTGGGGTTTTCTTGGCAAAGATGTTGGAGTGGTTTGTCATTTCCTTCTCTGGCTTTATTTTACAGATAATGAAACTGAGGCTAACAGGGTTAAGTGATTTGCCCAGGGTCATACAGCTAGTCAGTGTCTGAGGCCAGATTTGAACTCAGGAAGATGTGTCTTTCTCTCTCCAGGCTTGGTGCTGTATGCACTATGGTGCCACCTAGCTGCCCCTAATGTTCCGCTAAAGCACACGTGGAGTTGGAGGACCTGGGTTCAAATCCCACCTCTTCCACTTAACCATCCTTGGTGACTTTAGGCATGTCATTGAACTCCTCTAGATTTCAACTTCCTCATCTGAAAATGATCAAACTGGCCTAGCTGATCTCTACAGTCCTTTCCGTACCTGATCCTATGACCCCTATATCTCCCATTAAGGCTGAAGGAAACGAAATTATTGTCCCTGTCTAAAGTATTGAGTCAATTTTGCTTTAAATTAGGGGTAACCAACCAGTAGATCGAAATCTACCAACTCCTCCAATAAGTCTTTGAGTCCGTTGTCCAGCAGCTGCCAAGGGAAACCCAACTGCCATTGGCACCCTCCTCTGTCCAGCCCCACCACATTGCTGGGCTTTACAGCCATCATTCCTCACAGCCCACTTGGGAACTTCCTTATCATCAGCCTCTCCCCCTGCTCTGAGGTGATCTCAGAGTTTCAAAGAAGTAAGAAGTCACTTCTCTCCCCCTACAAGAAAAGGTTGGAGATCCATGCTATACAGGCTGGCAATTCCCCAGCTCCAAAGTGAGATAGAAACCCTGGAAGAAGCCTCATTCTTATTGCAAAAAAAAAAATACATAATAATAAATGAAGAAGAGAAGGTGATGCGGTAAGGGGATGGGGGTGTGGCATTTGCTATGAGTAAGGGGTAGTTATCCTTTTCCTCCTTTAGTACAAACTATTGGCAAGCAGCCAAGATCACACTTTACCAGTTTACCTCAGCAGTAACCTTACAACTTCCCTCCAGTGCTCAAAAATCACCTGGAGAACAACTTTTCTCTCACCTTGTAGGCTTATGTTTGAGTGAAAAGAGGGCAGCTACCTTCCCAAGGGGCCTAGAAGCAAGGGGCTGCAGCCATGGAGTTGATTATATTTAAGTTCCAGACCCTGGATCTACTTTATCTTCATGAAATGTTCATAGATAATGTTAACATGTGGTTTTCTAAGCTGATTTGCTACTTTTGAGTGTTTTTATTTGAGTATGACACCACTGGTCTAGAATCTCCCATAGAAAGCAAAGATAGTTTCAGCTTGCCAAAGAAGCAACCTCTTTTCCGATTGGACTTCACTGTCTTTGCAATTCACTGAGATGCTAGGGATGACCAGGACCAGATTTCTCTCTCACAGTCTGTAATCTCACAGTCAAACGGATCAGAATTCCTCTAATCATCCCTCCCACCCACACTAGTGTTCGTATGGTTACCCCAGCCAGATAACTGATGTGCTCCATTATTTCAGGGTATATCAGGGACCCTAGGTTGTTCCAGGACAATCAGCTTTACTTGCCAAATCACCTCAGGAGGCAACAGGATCTCTCAGCTGTACCATCAAAATACCGTCTCCTGCCTGTTTACCCTTCAGTCTCTACTTTCTGGACCCAGAAAGAACAACGGGCTGATGAAGGTTTGTGGTGCACTTAGGGCTAGTTTTTTTTCAAATATATTTGGGCCCTTAATTTCTTCTAATTGCATTTCCCAAAATAAAGCCAAAGGATCTGGGACCTTAGTTTACTCATTTGTGAAATTAATTACCTCTAGTGTTCTTGCCAGTTCTAACAATCTATGACTCTGCCACTTGTGGTGTGGTGGAATGGTGAGTTAAATGTTTCAGAAGTTGCTATTGGGGAATGACTTTGATGGAAAGAATAAGTCAAGAGCTGAGGCATGGAGGCTATCATAAGGGGAAAGAAAGTCCCAGGGCAGTACTATAGTATCTCTGGGAAGAAGGAATAAAAGAGTCTAGAGTATCATAAGCATTAATTGTGGAGAATGCTGGAAAAAATATGCCTTAATTGTGGGGAATGCTGGAAAGGGGAACTTTAAGTACAAAATTAGACAGGAAAGAGCATGTAATTTGCTTATTTTACAGACTTTAAGAGAAAAAGCCCATTAACCATCTTCTCATTAAGATTTGCTGAGACGCCAAAGACTAAGATGAATGGAAAGGATATCATTGAAGAGATGACGGAGATGAGCTCCTACCGTTCATCATGAGTTGTCCGTGGTCTACCACAGCTGGTTAAGTGAAGGAACTTAGACTAGATCTAGTCTCGACTTTTAGGAGAGTATGGTTTGTGCCACTAATAATAGTGCCTATTTGTAGAGATGCTGGCCCATATCATTCTACAAAAAAGTCTAGAATCATAGGATTAGAAAAATCTTAGAAACCAGGTAGGCCAGTTAGATAATATCTGGAGAATTGGAAAACAGTTTTGGGTGCTCCATTTTAGGAAGGGTCTGGACAAAGTGAGGTACATCCAGAGGAGGGTGACTAGGATGATGAGATATATACCATGCCAAGCCACGTGAAGATCATTTGAAAAGAACTGGGAATGTTAGCCTGGAGAAGTGGAGATACAATACCTGTCTTCAAGTATTGGAAGGACTATTGCTGAGAAGAGAGATTAGAATTGTTCTGCTTGCCCACAGAAAGCAAAAAAAGAAATAATGGAGGAAACTGCAAAGAGGCAGATTAGGGATCACTGTAAGGAAAAACCTCCTAACTAATTTTTGTTGCTCATTCTTTTCAGTTGTGTCCAAGTCTTTGTGACTCCATTTGGGGTTTTCTTAGGAAAGATATTGGAGTGGTTTGTCATTTCCTTCTGCAGTTCATTTTATAGATGAGGAAACTGAGGCAAACAGGGTAAAGTGGCTTGTCCAGGGTCACACAGCTAGTAAGTGTCTGAGGCCATATTTGAACTCAGGTCTTCCTGACTCCAAGCCCAGCACTCTAGCAAAAATGGAATTGGCTGCTTTGAAAGGTAGTGAATTCCTCTTCAGTGGAGGTTGTCAGATGGAAGCTTGCTATAAATTTCGCACAGGGAATTTTGGACCCGGGTGAACTGAGCTAGATAATCCTCAGAATCCCATCCAATGGTGTGTGTGGTGGGGAATGTCCTCATTTTCACAGGACACACTTTTAAGTTTAATCAGCATTATTAACATTTTTCCATCACTTTCTTAAGTTTAAAAAAAATCAACAAAATAATATATGAAGCCCTAACTTGTAGTGTTTGCTTTCTGAAGTGTGATTGCTCACATTGAAAATTTAACTATTAGCTCTCAAAAGCTGGTCCTCGAGCTGGCTCCAGTGTATCAATGATCCTTCCATCTTTGAGATTCTGTGATCTAAATCAGTGATGTCAAACTCAAATAGAAACGGGACCACTAATCCATACATAAGGATCTCTGCTGGCCATATGTTGCCTCACTTTTTAAAATATAGTGTTGTTTATGTTTTATTATATTTTTATTTATTTTTTAAGTATTTCCAAATTATATTTTAATCTGGTTGGGGGCTGGGGGTGCCTGCTTGCTTACAGGCCATGTGTTTGACATTTCTGATTTAGTGCATCACTTAATTTCTACTTTGTCTTGAATTTCTGGGAACACCGTGAGGAATCCATTTGTAAGAAATTTCAGTAGGAGATAGCTTTTCTTTGTATCACTAATAAATAGCACATAAAGAATGCTACCATTTAGTACTAGAACATAATTGATGTGGGTTACTAATTGATCTTACCTTTTCATGAACAGGAAAAGTCTTTTGTTCTTTCATTCTTAATTCCCTTTAAATAAAGAGCTTCCTGCCTTCTGCAGTGATGATTTCATTGGCCGTTTCTATAGAATCACAGGGTACCCCAATGGTCCATCCAGGAACGAAAGAGAGGTATGGTTTGTCTCAGCTCCCAGTTTATCTGCTCCAACATAACACTTCTGCCTAATTGGAAGGCATAGAGCCCCATGAGCCAACAAGCAGCCTTTACATCAGTGGAAGCTCACCTAAATTCACCTTAGTCCCACTCTCCTTCCACTCCAGCCTTACAGATATTTTTTGGATCCTTTTTTTGTGATGTAGTGATGCAAGGCCTTGTCTTTTGTTTTCAACATCCTGGGTCAGCCAGTTGCAAATAAGCACAAGCCAATGAAACAGGTGGTGATATTTACTCAGAAAAAGCCAGGATTCCCCCGAAGACAGATTGGGCTATTTATTTAGCCACACCTGTAGCATTCTGCCATTGGACAGAACTTTCTCCCTAGTCTCATTTGGAAGAAAATTGAATGAGGTGAGGGGTCATTTGGTCAGCATACTACCTCCTCTGTGCACTCAAAAGAGAATACTTTGGGTCCAAGTTTTTCACTCAGGAAAGCTCTGAGAGATCTGGCTCAGTACCAGGAGATATATTCAAAGGACCCAGCATGACTAGGTTAATTCAGAGATCACTGTCAGGGTTTGGGTCCATTCTAGGGCAGGCTAGATAGAGTCCTAAAAACAACCCCATCTCCCCAGAGCCTTTTCAGACTAAAATGAAATGGAAAAGCATTTATTAAGTACTTAACTATGTTCTAAGCACTGTTCTAAGTACTAGAAATACAAATATAGTCCCTGCCCTCAAGGAGCTTACATTCTTATGGGAGAGTCAAACACAAAAAGGACATGGTGGACACGGAGAGACACTTTGGTCTGGAAAGTTACCAGAATGGTGAACAGGAGCTTAGGGGAGCAGACTGATATACCCCAACACATCATCCAGGAACAATGGCAAAGTTGATTTAATCGTGATTGCCGAACTGGAATGAGGGATGGGGAAGGTCCTCATAAAGTTGACAGTGGAGGTGGCTGGAAAGTAAGGAGTGAAGTGAAATGATTACCCAGGAACAACAGTCACTAGTCTAGAAAGTGGGTCTCCAGAGGGGAAGATTCTCTGGTCTGCAAAGGTGATATGGGAGATGGATAGAGTTGGGAGTGAAGCAATTGAAAATGACCCAGGCTCTGTCAGACTTCTTACAGAGCTTAACCCTGCTCAAGCCTACTATCTTTGGTGCTTAGCAGCAAGCCAGACTTGTCTTCCAAAGTGGGAACAGGGCAGGGGTGGGGAATATGGCCCATACCAATGGAATCCAGACTGCCAGTAAGGATGAGCACAGACAAGGAGGGAGGAGGAGACAGAGTGACATGGGGAAATGAGGGAAGTCAACAGAAAGTCTGCACAACTACCCCAGAACGGCCTCAGGTCTGAAGACAACCCACACATTGTTGTAAGGATCTGGCCCCTGTGAGTGGAGGTGTTGCTAAAGACTGGCTCCAAACGAGGCAGGTTTGCCAGATTATTTCATCTATAAATCTACCTTGAGTAAGTGATGAAAATCGCTGCAGGACCCTTTAAACCACTGTTGAAAGATTTGTTAACTGTGTTTCAGTCATCTGTTGACTCAGATCCTTCCTGTGTGTTTTGCAAATTAAAAAAAAAAATGTAACAGGGTAATTCAGAGATTCTATGCAGCTCATAAGATCATCTAATACAGGGGTGGGGAACCTGCAGCCTCGAGGCCACATGTGACCCTCTAGGTTCTCAAGTGTGGCCCCTGGACCGAATCCAAATTCCCAAAAGATTCTGTGAACAAATCCCAAAGATTCTGTGAAGTTTGGATTCAGCCCAAGGGTTGCACTTGAGGACCTAGAGGGCCACAAGGCCACAGGTCCCCACCCCTGATCTAATCTAACCCCCTCATTTTATTTATTTATTTGGTGAGGCAATTAGGGTTAAATGCCCAGGGTTACACAGCTAGTAAGTATCAAGTGTCTGAGGCTAGATTTGAACTGACTGCAGGGCCAGTGCTCTATTCACTGCGCCACCTAGCTGCCCCCAAACCCCCTCATTTTACAGATGAAAAAACTGAGACCTAGTTAAAATGAAGTGTCTTGCCCAAAGCTACAGAGATAGTTAACAGCAAAGTAGGGATTCAAATCCATCTTCTCTCCCTCAACATCCAGAAGTCTCTTAACTATGCCACAGTTGAGGTCCAACAGCGGCTAGGTGGTGTAGTGCTGGAATGCTCAGTTGACAGTCAAGAGAATGTGAGTTCAAATCTAGCCTCAGACACTTAATAACCGTGTGACCCTGGGCAAGTCACTTAACTTGTCAACCTCAGTTTGCTTATCTGTAAACTAGGGGTAATAATAACAGCTAATCCTGAAGATCAAATGAGGTAATATTGATAAAGTACTTTGCAAATGCTAACTATTATTATTAGCAATCCACTCTTCCCCCCCCCAAAAAAAATAGTAGCAGTCAACCCAAGTAGTAGCTTATATCAAACTACCTCACCGACTCTAAGGTAGGGTTGACATTCATCCTGTAGAAAAAGCATAAAAACTGACTGTTGGCAACTTTCTGCGTGACCTCAAATAGGTCCCTTCTCACGCTCTAGGCTTTGGTCTCCTTCTTGTTAATCTATTTATTCTCTGGCCTCCTTCTGCTCTAACACTCCATAGTTGATAATGATGATAATAATAGCAATAATTATAGTAATATTAAAATTAATAGAATGGTAATTAATCACTCATACTTGTTTAGTCATTTTTCAGTCATGTCCTACTCTTTGGGATCTCATTTGGCAAAGATACTAGAGTGGTTTGCCATTTCCTTATCCAGCTCATTTTACAGAGGAGGAAACTGAGGCAAACTAATAGTATAGTAATTAATAACTAACTAATTATAGTTCATTAGTAGTATAGTAATACTAACAGTAATTGTGCCTGGCACATAGCAGGTACTTAATAAACTTTTATGTATTGATTGATCAATATGACAGAGGCACTGTGAAATCTTGAGGGGAAAAGTATTGGAATTGGTGACGGAGAACAAGTTTTCCTACTTAATACTTGGGTGATCATGAGCAAATCTTAACTGCTCCGGTGCTCATCTACAAAATGAAGAGTTAAGCTAGGTGATCTATGACATTTTCTAGCTCTCATATTCCATGGGGTGGATGATGACGATGACAATAATGATGAAGAAGAAGAAATAACTCACACTTATTAAAAGTGCTGTAAGGTTTATAAAGTACTTTAGTCTCCGCAATCCTTTGACGCAGATAAGAAGAGAGGAGAGAGATGGAGACCAGAGCCTTTAATGTGAGGATGTTCTGTGTACTTTGGATTTGGAAAGTGATGATGGAATGCCAGTTCTGGAACTTAGAGGAGCAGCAAGCTGGCAGCTCTGGGAAACCAGCCAGCCCAGCAGCCTCCACCATGCCCATGTGTTCTATTTCAGTACTGATCCACTGTCTGCCTTACAGATGCAAGTGATCTTGATAATGAGGAATCTGAAGATAGTGATGTGGACAAGGAAGATTGCAGAGCTGGAAAACACTGGGAGGAAAAGGTTCCACTCCCTCCGCTGAAACGGAAGCCTCCAGGGAGGGCCACTTGGCTGAATAATGAAGCCTATGCAGAGGTATCATTTCTAATCTCAATTAGGCTATCCTTTATGATTCTTTCTGTCTGATTAAATACTATTCCTCCTAGTTAGAAGATCCTTGGAGTTTCTGAGTATTTTAGCCCTTCACATAATATCAGAAAACATAACTATGGGAAAATGTGAATTTAACAAGAACCTATAATTAAGGAAGAAATGTATTATGGTGGAGAGTGTCTAGAGTCAGAGGACCTGAGTCTGAATCTCACCTATGATGCTTACTATCTGTGTGACCTTGGACAGACAGGCCACTCAAGCTCCCCAAACCTCAATTTCCTTGTATGTAAAAAGTGGGGTAGGCTGGCTATACAACATCTGTGCTCCCTACAGCTAGGATCCTTTGATTTTGTCAGGATGAAAATCAATCAATGAATCTACAAGCACCTACTGTGTGTCAGGTACTGTGCCAAGTGCTAGCAATACAAGTACGAAGAATGATATACTCTCTGCTGGTAAGATATTAAATGGAGGAAACAAAAACATGTGAAATATATACAGTATAAACATAGAGTTAATACACATAAATAAATACAATGTAGTTTGGAAGGAAAGATAGCAGTCGAAAAGATCAGGAAAGACTTCATGCAAAAAAAAATCCCCAAAAGCAAATGGTACGTGTATTGCTTCTTAAAGGAAAAGCAGAACTCTTTGAGGTAGATGTAAGGAAAGACTGCATTCCAGGCATAAAGGATGGTCAATGCAAAAACCTGGAGATGAGAGTTGGGTTGTCATGTGTGAAGAGAAGGCCAGTTTGTCTGGATCACAAAGTATGAGAGGGAGAAAATAATGCCCAGTATATCTGGGAAGATAGTTTGGAACCTGGCTATATAGGGTTTTAAAAGCTAAAGAAAGAAGTTTATATTTTATCCTAGAAGCAATAAGAAACCACTAGAGTTGATGGAGTTGATTCACATGATCAGATATGTACTTGAGGAAAATCACTTTGACCAGAATTTTTAGGCTGGGCTGGAGAAGGAAGAGATTTGAGACAGGGGGTCTTAATGGGAAGCTCTCCCAATCAATAGGCAGGAGGTGATGGGGATCTGAAAACCCATCTGTAACTTAGAGTGTAGGTATTCATGTGTTCATAAGATCATGGATTTCAATCTGTAAGGCACCAAGCTTAGAGAATTGCACTTACCTCCAGTTATATATTAAGTTAGTAGGACGTGCTGATAGAAATGCCCTAAGTAATTATTACCAGACAATTTAGCTTTAAATCACAAATGCTCAGCGTTGAGGCATCATATCTGTTTAAATATTTTGGTCCAACAGATTTACTAATTGATACTGAATAAATACTTTTGATTGCGGTAAATAGCAGCAGAACAGACAACTTGACTGAAGGGGTCTAGCTCATGTCCCTGTACTCTGCCTCGAGCATAATCAAGAGAGGTCTATGTGATTCTTAACTTTACTGGTCAAGAAACAAAGTCTAGTTGCTAAAAAGATACTTTTCAGGATGTTCATGAAAGTGTGTTTATAATTATACATGTCTGTTTCCTAGGACACATGGATGGAGCCTCACCAAGGAATGCAAGCTTTAAAAAAGAGCCAGGGACACCATGGAAAGTCCCACCCACCTTTAGGGAGTGACTCTGTGTTTGGCAACATTGAAACTCCCCAGTTCTTGAGTCAAGGATCCCAGAGTACATTCTATGGAGGTACCTTCCCAGACAGGAAGACATACCTAAGTGGTAAGAAGCACAAGGCCCCTGTCTCTAGGTCAGTGCGAATCTGATTGCTCTGTAAAAATGAAAAATACAGAACATACTACTTTGTCTTGACCCCTATTACCTTGGAAGGAAGATAAAGCTAGGATTTTTTTTTTGGGGGGGGGGACATGGAATTCCACCTGGTTCACCAAGAGGCAAGCATGGTACAGTGGAAATAGTGCTGGACTTGGAATCGGTAAGGACTAGATAAAAATTGCTATTCAGACATCATCCTAGCCATGCAAACTTTTTTAACCTCTCAGCCTCAGTTTTCTTATCTGCCATATGGGGACAATACTTATAGTATCTACCTGACTGGGTAGCCATGAGGCCCGAATGAGAGTACCTATTGTTAAGAGATTTACAAACTTTAAAGTGCTATCTATGTAAACACCCATTATTATCATCAATTATAAATATTAATAATTTTAAATTAAATAATAAATAGCATTAACTCATTTATTATTTAATAATAATAATTCAATTATACTTACTATTATAAAATCAAATTACAATTATAGCTAGTTTTTATTTATTAAAACATCTCTTCCCTAACCATCCATTCCATCATTTCTCCCACCTAACAAGAAGCTGAAGGTCCTAAAATGTGCTCCGAGACTTCCTGATGTCTGCAACACCACCCTCTGCCTTTCTTCTAGGGAACAGAAAACTAATTTTCCTGCCTTTCATTCTACCACCTGTTGTAAACAAATTTTCATCTATCAGGGACCCTGTGACCTTCTAGGCCCTTGGGTGTAGCCTTTTGACTAAGTCCAAGTTTTACAGAACAAATCTTTGTATTAAAGGGATTTGTTCTGTGAAGTTTGGATTCAGTCAGAGGGCCACATGTGGCCCTGAGGTCATAGGTTCCCCACTCCTGACTATCTTATCCTTTTCCCTTCTAGGTGGAAATAATCTCTCTTTCCTTAGTACCTCACTGTTTGCACTTTCATATTCTCTTTTGTATTATAGGTATTTGTGTACCTGGATTCTCTCCCCTGCTACTGGTGGCTCCGTGGGGGCAGGGAACACATCTTGATTTTCTTGTTCCCCAGAGCAAGGAGTACCTGCTTTGTACATAGCAAATGCTTAATAAATGTTTCTCAAGTGAGTTAATCTTCTTTTATGCATTCACAAGGGAATGTGAAGATCTCCAAAAGCAGACACCAAATGTTTCCAGAGCTTCTGGTAGAAAGATGTGTTTTGCCACCTGTTCAACCCACCATCAACCCAGAGCAAAACGTGCCTAGAAAAGTAAAGGAAAAAAAGGTTCGTTTAAATAGAATTAATCTGGGATCAGGAACTCAGTGAATAAAGTTCTTGTTTTCATGTGATCATAGATGTTGAGCTTAAAGAGAACTCAGAAGCCATCTAGTCCAAAGCTGTCATTATACAGATGACAAAACTGAGGTTCAGAGATGGTATGTAAATGGCCATTATTATCATCAATTATAAATATTAATAATTTTAAATTAAATAATAAATAGCATTAACTTATTTATTATGTAACTTATCCAAGGTCATAAAGCTAGTGTCAGAGGTGGGATATGAATCCAGATCTTCCTGACTCCAGAGGAACATTCTGCCCACTGTAATAGCATGGTACGGTCAAAAGAACACTGGCTTTGGAATCAGAGAGCCTGAGATCATATCCCACCTTTGTCACCTGCCCTTGGACAAGCCCCTTTACCTCATTCTGCCTGAGTTTTATCATCTGTAAAATGAGGGCCTTGGACTACATGGCTTCTAAGGTCTCTTCTGGCTCTAAATCTAGGATAAATGGCTAAGGTACTCATCTCAATGGAGAGAGAATTAGTCTTTCTTAATATTGAATTCAGGGCAGCTCAGTGGCAGGATAAAGTAGCAGGCATGGAAACAGGAAGACTCATCTTCCTGAGTTCAAATCTGGCCTCAGACACTTAGTAGCTGTGCAACCCTGAGCAAGTCACTGGACTCTGTTTACCTCAGTTTCCTCATCTGTAAAATGAGCTACAGAAGGAAATGGTAAGCCACGCCAGTATCTTTGCCAAGAAAACCCAAATGGGGTCATGAAGAGTCGGACATGACTGAAAAACAACAACAAAATACTGAATTCATCATTTCACTGAAATGCATTCTTAGAAGTTTCAAAATCTTGATGATCACCCCAAATTCATCATCTAGTGGCCACCCTTTTGTGATGAGCCTACTCAGTTAACCTAATGCTCTAGGAAGTCACCTAGTTATTCTAGTGATAGCCCAGAATAACCTACTTCTGCACCACAATGACACATCAGTGTAGGACTTCCAGAGAAGAAGTAAATAACTTGACAAGTAGTAAAATTGAAGAAAATTAGACTGACTTTCAATCTATCCCCCCAATAGCCAACATTTTTATAGTTCTTTAAGTTTTCCAACTCATTTGAGCCTCACCACAAACCTTTGAGGTAAGTGCTATCATTATCCCCATTTTACAGATGAAGACATTTAAAGTGTACGATACAACTGCCATCTTAGTAACAGCAATAAAACATCTTTTCAAAAAGACCAGAGGGACTGGTTGGGGAAGGTTAGAGGTCAAGAGAAAAGAGGAAGGATTATTTTGAGGAATGGGGAGGAGACATGGCAATATGTTGTCCACAAGGAACTTGAGCTTGTAGAAACTGACCTTTGTCAAACCTGAGGTCTCTGCTAAATCCTGGCAAACTTAAATCTGAAGCAGTTTTGAGCTCAACCTGGTGTCATTTTCCAAAACTTAAGGACATATGTTTCTTGTCCAATGAAGAGGACTGGGAAAGGACAGCAGATAATCTATAGAGTCCAACATTGCTTCACCTGCTGCTTCACAGCCCTCTCTCTCTGAGTGATGGGTTGGCTTAAGGCCTGACCTCATCCTGAGATTCAGTTTCAGCTTTGGTTGACTGAGGGGTGGGGTGGGAATTTGTTTCAGTCTGAAGTGGCCCTGAGAGTCAATCCAAACTGAATAATGTAAGGAAACTCTACAAGCCATATCTACTCCCCTGACCCCCAACCCCTGTCCCCAGGGCCAGCCCAGAGCAGCTTGGGCAATTGGACTTCACAGTGGACTTGGACATGTGACCACGGACAAATCTCTCTGACCTTCAGTTTCTTCATTTGAAAAATGGGGGTAAATATGCCAAGGTAGCCTAGTGAAATAGGAAGAACGAAGCATTAGCTTTGGAATCAGAGAATGTGGGTCTAAAATCTGGCTGTGACCTTGGGCAAATCACTTCTAGCTCTCCAGGTATCCGTTTTTCCCTCTGTAAAATGAGGCAATTAGCCTAGATGATCTCTAAGTGTTTTTTCAGCTCTTGATCCTCTAATTCAAACCAAGGAAAGAAGTCATTAGGCAAGAGGAAGAGAAGCAGCACCCCTCTTCTATTGCCAAGACTTATGGATGAAAATCTTCTTATTCAATATTAAAACTACAAATTCTGCATGTTTTAATTGGTTTGAAGAAGTGAAGGCTGCGATGGACCACCACACAAACCCACCCACAGTTCAAGAGAATGGTTTAGATTTCTACTTGGAGCTCTGAATGCATACTTTGTCAAAGAAATCATGCCAGCTCTGTACTTGACGAATGCAGTTGGTGGCCAGTGAGCACCTGTGTAGTCAATGTCTCCAAAACTGTAAAGAACGTATGTGCCTGTGTTCAGCTAATAATTTTCCTAATATTTCACAGTGATAAATACTACCCTACACATTTTAGGTTGAATTACCTTCCTTGTTCAAATTTAACTTCATTAGAAGCTAGCACACATTTATGGTTCTATTTCTTCCACCTCCACCCCCAACCTGCTTTCCCCCTTTTTTCGAGAATGAAAAAAGTGTATATTTTTCCTCCTGTTAAACCAAGCTCCCTGAAACCTCACATTAAAACATTTCTGAAGGCAGAGACCATATGTCAAAAATAGAAAACCAAAAAGGAGAGATTTTCAGTAACTTCTGAATAATTGAAAACAGAAGGTTTTATTACTATCTCTATTCCACATATTTTTTTAAACAGAAGAAATCTGGGCCAAGCCTGTGACTGATTTTGACACTCATGGTTTGTTTTTTCAGCTATGTTCATATTAGAGAAACAGCAAAGCCTGGACACCCTGGCAACAGGGATGTTGGTCTAAACTCTGAAAGAATGGAGAAGAGTTAGCTGCCTAGAAAAAAAATAGGCTCAACTGCCCAAGTTCTCAGCTAAGCAACCTGACTTAGGACCGGGTGCTGAATCTCACTTTGTCTCAGTTCCCTCATCCACAAGTGATAGAAAAAAAGAAACCGTTTCCTCTCAAAAGTGTCCTAAGATCATGAAATCATTCTATCTGCCTGTGCTGAATTAAACAGGGCTTCTTCAATACTCCCATTTTACAGTTAGACAAACTGAGATAGTGGATGTGAAGGGTCATGATTAGAGTTGGAAATTAGGGTGCCTGACTCCCAGATTTGGCTTTAGCTCTCTCAGTATCTACCAAAGCTATATTAGAATAAAGATTAGCATTGTCATGAAATGATATGAAAGAAAATTATAATATCATTTATATGTCAGGCATCAGTGTTTGGATACCTACTATATTGGGTTTGGTTTTGTCTATAATTTTCACATAGGTGCCAAAGGCTTTGAAATTACCTGCTATTACAGAAGAACCACCCAAAGCCCAGGATCCCCTGAGGAGTCAGCTAAATGACTATGGCAGCCCAGAAGAGCTGCTCATTCTTCCACTGGAGGTTCATGTATGTGCTGAGGACCAGCCCAAGGACAGAGGACAAAGACGAGGTAAGTGTGCTGGAGATGGGACAGATAGAGGAGATAGAAATGATCTGCTTTTAGAGATGACCCAACTAAAATGAACTTTTCATCTTCACAGAATGCATCTAGAGAGATTTAATATTGAGTTACATGTATCAGTGCAAATTTTCAGCCCTGTGCCCCAAGGAAAGATTCCTTCTGGTCCTTCTTAAGCCACTCTATTCTAGCTATTCATTTGCTTTTGGTAACTTATTTGCTTCCTGCTTTTCCTTTAGTCTGGAATCAGCACAGTCCCCTTCATGTAATTTTTGTTGTTGTTCAGTCATTTCGGTAGTGTCTGGTTCTTTGTGGCCCCATTTGCCTTTGTCTTGGCAAAGATACTGGAGAGGTTTGCCATTTCCTTCTCTACTTCATTTTACAGATGAGGAAACTGAGGCAAACAAGGTGAAGTGACTTGCCCACTAACTGTCTGAGTCCAGATTTGAACTCAGGAGAATGAGTCCTCCTGACTCCAGGCCTAACAAGCTATCTACTATACCACCTAGCCATCCTTTCATATAATAGGTCCTTAGTAAATATCCAAATGAATGAATCAATTCAGCCAGTTAACCAGTCAATAAGAGTGTTCAGTCCCTGAGAACTTAACAGCCTTTTATCTCCCTTTTAGGAATCAATCATTCAACAAGCCTTTATTAAAATAAGTGCAAAGAATTTCACCAGAAACAATAATTGACTATCATTTCTCTAGAAGGCTTGAATTTGGAGTCATGTAAGGAATTGTGAGGTTCATTCATTAAACAAAAAAAAATACATACATATACATATATACACACACACACACACACACACACACACACATATGTGGCATTGTGATAGGCACGGGGATGAAGAGTATATAGCTTTGTAGGAGGGGCAATAGGGATGCAGATAATGACATTACAAAACGGAATATGAAAAATGCATGAGATGTACTTATGAGATACAATAAGTCATAGGGGTCGGGTCAGTTCTTGTCTGAAGGGAGTCACAATAAGTCATCATACAACAGAGGGCAGTTAAGATGGATGGGGAGGCTTTTCAGGCATAGGGAACAGCAAAAAGAAAGAAACAGAGATGGAAAGGGGGAGCATATTCAGGAGATGGTAAGTTCCAGTTAGTTAGGAACAGGGAGCATAAGACAGGGGATAGTTTGAAAAAGAGCTGGAAAGGTAGGTTAGATCTAAACCCTGCACAACCTTCAATGTCTACAGAAGATGTTTGAATTGTATTCAGTATGTTGTAAGCTGCTGCCAAAGATTTTTGAGCAATGAAATACTATAATCACAGCTCTAATTTAGAAAAATTGGTATGAAAGGAAACAAGTCTTTATTAAGAAAACTAATATAGAAGGGTAAAAAACATTGACTTAAGTACCTACTATGTGTCAGGAACTATGCTAAGCACGTTACAAATGTCTCATTTTATAAGATGATATTTATTTTACCCATAAATATTATAAGTAATATTTATTCTCGCATCAACTCTGGAAGCTGTTGTTATTATTATCCCCATTTTATAGCTGAGGAAACTGAGACTGAGAGAAATTAAATTATTTGCCCAGGGTCACATAGCTACTAAGTGTCTACGATTGGACTTGAATTCAAGTCTTCCTGATCTGGGCCCAATGCTCTACCCACTGTGCCACCTAACTGACAATGGTCTAACAAATAGACTGGAGAAAGAAGGGCCTGGAAGAAGAGAGCAGGGAGAAAGCTAATATTATAAAGCAGGGAAAAGGTACTGAGGACTTGAGCTAGGATAGGAATAGTAAGGGGAAGACAAAAGCAAAAGAAATGGGGGAAAGAATTGATTGGATTTAGTTGCAGGGGGAGAGGGAGGGAAAAGAGTCAAAGATGACTTAACTTCCTACAATTGACAATGAAAATGGTAAGTCCATTAATAGAAAGAGGCAAGTCAGGAAGAAAAACATGATTTTTATAAAGCAATGTTTTGAATATCAGAGATGTCCAGCAGACTGCTGGAAGTGTAAATCACGTCCAGAGCTCTGGGAAGAGCTTGTGACTGGCCATAAAGATTTAAATGCCTCATAGTCATGCTCACTGAAATGATATTTAAAGCTATAGAAGTGAATCAGCTCACTAAGGAAAGGGATGTAGACAAAGAAGAAGAGACAGCTGAAGCCCTTTTCATGGTAGCAAAGAAATGGAAATTGACAGTGTCCATCAATTGGAGAATATGAATGTAATGGAATACACAAAGAAACAGCAAAAAGGATGAGAACTGGGAAGACCTATATGAACTGACGCAGAGTAAAGTGAGCAGAAAAAGGAGAATAATTTTATAGTCTAACAACAACATTGTAAAAATGAACAATTTTGGAAAAATTTAAGAACTCTGATCAAGCCATGATCAACTGTGATCCCAGAAGACCAATAATGAAGAATACTATCCAACTCCTGAACTAATATGCAGAATGAGATACACATTTTTATACGTGGCCAATATGAGATTTTTGTTTTGCTTGACTATGCATATTCATCACAAGGGTTTCTTTCAATGTTGGGGGAATTGGAAGAAGAGGAAATAAATGCTTGTTGAGAGAGAGAAAGAGAGAGAGAGAGGGGGAGAGGAGAGAGAGAGAGAGAGAGAGAGAGAGAGAGAGAGAGAGAGAGATGGAGGGAGAGAGGGAAGGAGGGAGGAAAGAGAGGAAAGGAAGGAGAGGGACAGAGGAAAGAAAGGGATAAGAGAGGAAGAAGAGAAGGAAAGAGAAGAAGGGAAGGAGAGAGAGAGAGAGATTACAATCCAGGCATGCCCACAACAAGATATCTCTAAAGCCAAGAGGAATCCTCATTGGGAGGAAATGATTATCCAGCTACAGAGAACCATGAAGGATAATCAAGGCTATTTGCAGGGATAGGAAGAAATAAAGATTTTCTCAGGGGCACCTAGGTGATGCAGAGGGTAGAGCATTAGCCCCGGATTCAGGAGGACCTGAGTTCAAATCCAGCCTCAGACACAAAACACTCACTAGCTGTGTGACCCTGGGCAAGTCACTTAACCCCATTGTCTAACCAAAAAAAAAAATTTCCCCTACTCTATGTTCTTTCTTATAACTACCCTGACAGGTAAGTCAGGAAGCTAGCCAGCCTATCCCATTTCATGGACTGTGAACTAATGTCTTAAATGCCATAGTCAGCTTGGTATAGTGCAAATTCTCCTGGGCTGGAAGGCCTCAGTTCTCATCTTGCTTTGCCACTAATTCACTTTGATACAGTCACTTCCCCTGTCTGGGCCTCAGTATATTCCTCTCTACAGTGAAGGGGTTGGACTTCTAATTGGCTACGACATATAGATGGTGAATCTGCCCCATCCCTACAAAAGATCAGGAAAACCAGTGAGAGAGACATCATCCTGGGAGGAAAATATGTCCTCAATCTTCGGAGCAGAAATAGCTAGTGATGACGACCCAGTTGGTCCCTGTTTCATTTTACTCTGTCTTCACTTTCTAGAATCTTGGAATACTGAATGCAGACCCAAGGCTAATGTAGATGGGAAATCTTTGCCAAAACTATCTCTGCAGCAGACCTGCTACTCTCAGCCACCGTTGACTGTGCATCTCCCAAGGGACTCAGGTAGGAACTCGCCATTGATTCCAGGTACCTTCTCTCTCCCCCCATTATATTCTAGACAACTTGTTCTGGAAGAAAGGAAGATAGGAAAAACAGATTCTCCCTCAGCAAGGCATCTAAAGGAGAGGTCAGTTTATTTAGATTAAGTTCGCTTGAGCTAACTTTGTTCTTAGCCCATCGAAGTGGTGTAGAGGATTGAATACTGGACTTGGAGTGAAGAAGACCTGAGTTTCAATCCAGCCTCAGACACTTACTAGCTGTGTGACCATTAGCAAGTCTCTGGACCTCAGTTTCCTTTTCTGTAAAATGAAAGAGTTATACTCAGTGACCTCTATATGGGCTCTATATCCATGATCCTGTGATCACCCTTCTGCTCACAATTTCTTGTCACAAATTAAAGGTCATCTATGGCTAAGAATGTTTCATAGGATCATAGATTATGATTTGGCCAGAAGCCTTAACTAGGAGCCATGGGTGGAAGTTGCAAAGAAGCCAATTTGGGCTTAATGTAAAAATAAACAAACAAACAAATACATCCTAAGAGTTAGTGCTTCTAATAGCGCAGTGCCCTTGGGAGGAGGCAGATTTCCTATCTTTAGATGTCTTCAAGCAAAGGAAGGAAAGGAGATTAGCATATATTAAGTGCCTACTATATGCGAAGCACTGTGTTGGGCACTTTACATATATTATCTCATTTGATCCTCACAACAAAAGGAGAGTAATAATAGTATCATTATTATTATTCCCATTTTATAGAAGAGGAAACTGAGCCTAAAGTGGTTAAGTGTCTTGCCCAGGGTCACACAGCTAAGAAAGTGTCTAAGACAGGATTTGAACTCAGGTTGTCCGGATTCTAAGTCCAGCCCTCTCTCCACTCTATCTCTTAACTGCCTCAAAGGCTGGACGACCTATGCTCAGTGTAGAGGACATTCTTGTTCAGGTATGGGTTGGACTCTAATACTCTATGGTCCCTTCTGATAGTCTGTAATTCTGTAATTTAGAGATGGAAGGGATTCTTGAGATAATCCAGTCCAGTTCTTCCCTTTCTCCAATGAGAATCGGTTAAATGATTTACCCAAAGTTAGACAGCTAGTTAGTTGTAAAGCTGGGACAAGAAATAGTAATCTATTATTTGATAAACCCAAAGATCCCAGCTTCTGGGATAAGAACTCACTCTTTGACAAAAACTGCTGGGAAAACTGGAAAAGAGTATGGCAGAAACTAGGCATAGACCAAAATCTCATACCATATACCAAAATCAAGTCAAAATGGGTTCATGATTTAGATATAAAGGCTGATACTGTAAGCAAACTGGGAGAGCAAGGAAGGAATAGTTTACCTATCAGATTTATGGAGAACAGAAGAATTTATGACCAAACAGGAGATAGAGAACATTATGAAATGCAAATTAGATAACTTTGATTACATTAAATTGTAAAGTTTTTGCACAAACAAAGCCAATGCAACTAAGATTAGAAGAAAAGTAAAACATTGGGAAAGAATTTTTACAATCAGTTTCTCTGATAAGGACTTCATTTCTAAAATATATAGAGAATTAAGTCAAATGTATAATAATACAAGTCATTCCCCAATTGATAAATGGTCAAAGGATATGAACAGGCAGTTCTCAGATGAAGAAATTAAAGCCATCTATAGTCATATGAAAAAATACTCTAAATCACTATTGATTAGAGAAATGCAAATCAAAACAACTCTGAGGTACCACATCACACCTATCAGATTGGCCAACATGACAAAACAGGAAAATGATAAATGTTGGAGATGATGTGGGAAAATTGGAACAGTAATGCATTGTTGGTGGAGTTGTGAAATGATCCAACCATTTTATAGAGCAATTGGGAACTATGCCCCAAGACCCTTGGGCATACCCTTGGACCCAGCAATAGCACCTCTACTAGGGCTGTGTCCCAAAGAGATCATACAAATGGAAAAAGAACCCACAAGTACAAAAATATTTATAGCAGCTCTTTTTGTAGTGGCAAGAAATTGGAAATTGAGAGGATGCCCATCAATTGGGGAATGGCTGAACAAGTTGTAATGGAATGTAATGGAATACTGTTGTGCTATAAGAAATGATGAACAGGCTGACCTCAGAAAAACCTGGAAAGACTTGCATGGTCTGATGCTGAGTGAAGTGAGCAGAACCAGGAGAATGTTGTACACAGTAACAGCTATGTTGTGCAATGACGAATATTGACAGACTTAACCCTTTTCAGCAATACAAGGATCTAAGATATCTCCAAAGGCCTAATGATAGAAAATGCTATCCATATCCAAAGAAAGAACTATGGAGTTTGAATGCAGATCGAAGCATACTATTTGCTATTTTTTTTCTTCTGTTGTGTTTTGTTTCCTCTTTCTGGTGGTTCCTCCCATTGGTTCTAATTCTTCCTTACAACATCACTAACGTAAAATATGTTTAACAGGAATGTATATGCATAGCCTATCTCAGATTGCGTGCTGTCGTGGGGAGGGAGAGGGAGAAAAATTTAAAACAAAAGCTTATGGAAGTGATTGTTGATAAAACAAAATAAATTAATTTTTTTAAAAGTTGGGATAAGAACCGAGATTTCCTGATTCCCAGTCCAGCATTACCCTTCCCTGCCTCCCATCCCATCCTCATTTAATGGGTTGAATCAATCAAACAATCAGCAAGCATTTATTAAGCACCTACCATATGCTAGGTTGGGCAGCTAGGTGGCACCAGGACTGGAATCAAAAAGACTTGAGTTCAAATCTGGTCTCAGACATTTATTAGATTGTGACCCTGGACAAGTCACTTAACCTTGTTTGCCTCAGTTTCCTCATCTATAAAATGAGCTGGAGAAGGAAATGGCAAACTACTCTAGTATCTTTGCCAAGAAAACCCCAAATAGGGTCACAAAGAGTCAGACATGACAGAGACAACTAAACAATAATATGCTAGGTGCCATGGATATAAATACAATAAATTAAACCATCCCTCCTCACAATGAGCTTGTTAAAAGACATGTGGCCAGGAGAGTAACCTAGAATCTCTTAAAGTAGAATTTTAGATACTGTGGCACCTAGGTAGGAAAGAGATCTTTAAACCAATCACACCTCGAATTGGACCATATAGTTATAAATCTAAGAACATAGTATATAGACATATGCACAATCAGTCAATCAGTAAACATTTATTAAGCACCTACTATGTACCAGACACTGGGCTCAGCAGTGTGGATACAAAAAGAGGCAAAAGACAGTTCTTGCCCTCATGGAGCTTACAATCTAATAGTCAGCTATTATTATTTTTATATGTGTATGTATAAATAGACAGACAGATAGATAGATAGATAGATAGATAGATACAAAGAGAGAGAGAGAGAGAGAGAGAGAGAGGAGAGAGAGAGAGAGAGAGAGAGAGAGAGAGAGAGATATGACCAATTCAGGAATCTGTTTTCCTTGACTATACATGTATGTAACAGGGATTTTGTTTTTCTTGTTTTGTCAGTTAGGGAGGGGGAGGGAGGAAAGAGAGAATGCAGATCAGAAAACAAAATCTAATTCTTAAAAAAGTTTCTTTTCTCCAGCGTCTAGGGCAGTGCTCTGCATATAGCAGACACTTAATAAATTCCATCTTAAAAAGAATCAGGAGAGGTAAAAGATAGGCAGAGGATCATTGTAAATTAAGATATACTGATTTGAGGAAATCCAGGAAACAGAAGGGGAAAACATGGTAGAGAGAATCTAGGCAGAAATAGAAGAGATACTGTCATCAAAGAATATGATAAACCATTGGATTATGTTCAGAAAGAAGAAATATATGAGAAGTTTGGGAAATAGATCAGAAGCCTAAGAAAGAGGTATGATATGAAAGAGATAGGAGACTTCAATTATTCAGACTCTACTGGAGTGTCTTCTTGGTCAAAAGCAGAGCAGCTATTTCTGGGTTTACCTGAATGATAATTTCATCCTTCAAAAGGTGGAGGATGCAAGGAGGTACCTGATATAGTGGAAGGAGTACTGGCCTTGGAGTCAGATCTTGATCAAGTCACTCTGAGCCTCCCATCTGTAAAACAAGGAGATTGAGCTAGATGGCCCCTAAGGTTCACTCCATCTCTAAGTCTATGAGCCTATAAAATTCTATTTTTAATTTATTTCTCAACAAAAGGAAGGTGCTGGATTCTGGGGTGGAAATGATGGGAACTTTGTGAGGTTGTGATTACTCCCCCTTAGAATTTATGGTGGAAGAGAAGAAAGATGGGCATATTCTGATATACACCCAAGGATTAGGGAGAGATTTCAAGGGGTTCAGAAAAAAAGAATAAGATGAATTCTATTGACTGATCTTATACAAGAGAAGTCACTTCAGGAAGAATGGAAAACTCTCAACAAAATTAGGAAAACATAGAAAAGAAATAATTCCAGTGAAGAGGAAAAGGAGAAATTGTCTAATGAGATTGATATGGATACTCTGGGAACTCACCGACCAATTTAGATTTTTAAAAGATTTGTACAGAATATGGAAGCAAGAGCAAGTAATTGAGCAATCATAAAAGCATAGAACAGTATTGTAAAAAGAGCGTCAATAACAATGGCTACCATCTGCAAAGCTCTTTTAAGATTTGCAAAATGCTATACACACGTTAGTTTAATGGATCCTCACAAAAGCTCTATGAATTAGGTATTCTTATCCCCATTTTACACATGAGCAAGATTAGACTAATTTATTCTAGGTCACATGGCTAAGTAAATGTCTGAAGCAGTATTTGAACTCAGTTCCTCCTGACTGCATATTCCCTGTGTCACCTAGCTGCTCATAATCAAGATTACTGAGTCTAGGGAGTCAAGATTAGCTGCATCTAGGGAGAAAAGTTAAGAGCAACCGAAGGGGTTGTTTTAGTTATATTGGGAGAGTGAGGAGGATCAAGGAAGCAATGGAAATATTGCTTAGGGTAGATGGATAATTATAATCAAGGAGTAAGAGAAGAGAGAGATGTTCTAATTTTGAGCTCTAATTTTGTGTATTTTTCTCTGCCAAGGAGAATTATCTTTGGACTGGAAAGGACAGAATAAAAATGACTAATAGACAGTTGATACTCAAGACAAAGAGGAAGACAGCAAGAGAATACCTAACTCATTAGACCTTTAACAGTTCAAATTAACTATATCCTAGCTTACTGAAAGAAGTGGGAGGCATGCCTGCTGGACCATTGTGGGGGATCTTTGAAAGACTAATGAAAGAAATAGGGACCACAAGACTAAATAATGACGTATATTCTGATTTTTACGAAAGAGAAGAGGATAATCTACCAACTCTGAAATTTAAATTCATCTCCTGGCAAAATTAAAGGAATGGTTAGTTAACATGTAGAAAAGGAAGCAGGGATGGCAGAAGGTCAATATGTCTCCATAAAGATTAGGTCATGCAGTTAGAATAACTTTATTTCCTTTTTTGATAATGTCTCTAGATTGATGCATTAGAGTAATATTGTAGATACACATTACCTACATTTGACAAAATCTCTCATTCACGATGAAGGGAAATGGGCTAGATAACAGTATATTTAGGTAGATTCAGAATTGTTGGAATGATTGACAATGCCTTATGTAAGTATAGTCTCTATATGCACTCTGCACTTACTCTCATGCACACTAGCAAATCAGGTTCCAGGGTTTTGCTGTCTAAATCTTCCCCTCAGAGTTCTAGGAGTACTCTGAGGGTATCTTTATAATGTTGTTGAATCAAGCCCCCATTCTGGTATGGAATCCCAATGTCATTTGCCAGTTCCCATTCTCCCTACCCCTTCTTCCACGTCTGTATATTCTCATGTACCTCAAATATGAAAAACAAGTTTCATACCACTCTTTCTCTTTTCTACACTGTATATTCCTTTTACTTCTTAAAACCCTCAGAATAAAAGTAGTCCAACTCAAGTTCTCTGTTGTTGTTAGTTAACTCCCTCAATATCTTTTGAGGATATTTGAGGTTCTGAAGAGACACTTGTTTTTTTCGCTCTATTATAATGTTATCACTACATCATCATATAGCCCCCTTCCAACAGCTCAAATAAATTTATCTTTCTTGGTTTCTCTGTATTCTTGGGTTTGTAATTCAAGGTTCTTGGTCAGCCCTGGTCTTTTCATTGGAAATGCTTAAAATTTTTCTGATCCATTGAAGATCCATATTTTTTCCCTGTGGGATTATAAACATCTTTGCTGGGTAAGTTATCCTTGATTATAAGCCAATATCTTTTGCCTTTTGGAATATTATATTCCATGATTTCCTCTCATTTATTGCAAACGCCTCCAGATCTTGTGTGATCTTGACTATAATTTCCTGGTACTTGAACTGCTTCTTTCTGGATGCTTATAGTATTTTTTTCCCTTTGATGTGGGAGCTCTAGATTTTGGCTATGACATTCCTTCAACTTTTTCTTTTGGGGGTTTCTTTCAAGAGGTGATTGATAGATTCTAACTCTCTGGGTAGTTTTCTTTTATAATTTGTTAAAATTTAGTGTCCATACTTTTTTTTAATCATGGTTTTCAGAGAATTTAATGGTTCTTAAATTATCTCTCCCTAAATTGCTTCCCAAGTCAAATACCTTAAATTTTCCAATATCTTACATTTTCTTCTAGTTTTTTCAACCTTTAGATTTTGTTCTAATATTTTTTGCTGTCTTATGAAGTCACTGATTACTGTTTGGTCTAGTCTAGTTTCCAGGAAGTTTATTTCTTGGGTATGATTTACTATTTTCTCTCCTAAGCTATTCAATTTTCCTTCCAGTTCTCTCCTCTATCAGCTTTAATCCTTGTTTCATTTCTTCTAGGTATTCATGTAGTACTTATGAGAAATCCATTTTTCCTTTGAGTCTCTGCTTATAATAGCCATGGAATTATTCTCTCCTTCTAGGTTGGATTTTTTGGTATCTCTGGATCTGCTATAATTCTGAATAGTGTTCTGTATGTTATATTTACTAATTTCTTCAGCTTCTGAACTGAGGCTTTGTGTCAAGGCCAGAATTCTCTTTCTGCTGCACTTGTAGGTAGAATGGTCAGCTCAGCTTGGCTAAAACCTAAGTCACCTAGATTCCCATGCTGATCTCCACCTCCCAGGATTACACTCCCCTGGATCTTTAAGGTTCAGAATGCTGTATCTTCAGAGTCCCTGAGCCTGAGATGTCCTGGTTTCAGGGTGCTAGCCAACTCCAGGTTGCTTCCAAGGTCCTCCCTGTGAGTTTCTAACCACCCTGAGCATTTTTCTGGAAGCCCACTATTCTCACTGCCACTTGTGTGTAAAGAGCCTGGTAGGTTACACATGTCTCTGGTCCATTTCTAGGCGTGCTGGGAGAATACTTTAATGTTTTCTTTGCACTGGGGCTGGCTTTTCTGGCAGTTTGTGAGCTGTCTGACTTTTGGAGCAATTCTGGGATGAGAGGAATCACTTGCTGTAATTTAGATCATTACTGAGTCTTGCACAACTTTTAGGTTTTTACTGGAGCAAGTGTACAGGAGCAAGGCTTTTACACAGAAGTTGCTTCACTGATAAACATAGTGATTTGGTTTTGTTTTGTTTCGGTTTGGTTTGGTTTTGGAGGCAGAGTTCAGCGACTTGCCAGGGTCACATAGCTAGTAAGCATCTGAGGCCAAATTTGAACTCAGGTCCCCCTGATTTCAGGGTCAGTGCTCTATCCATGGTGCTACCTAGCTGCCACAATAAATATGTTAATGGCAGTTACATGGCAGAGTAGATAGAGTGCTGAACTTGCAGTCAGGAAAACTTGAATTCAAATCCTGCCTCTGACACTAACTAGATACATGACTTTGGGCAAGTAACTTAAATTCTCAGGTGAGTTTCCTCACCTGTAAAATGGGGATAATAGTAGCACCAAACTTACAGGGTTGTTGTGAGGACCAGATTATAGAACATATGTGCTTTGCAAAACTTAAAATACTATATAAATGCTATTATATTATTATTATATTATTATTATTATTATATGCTTATCAAATCTTGAAGATGACATAAAGATAAAATTGAATTATTTATCCCTAAATATCCTAAACTGGGTAGTACATAGAGCCAGATCTGATAAGATGAAATTAAAGAGAGATAAAATACAAAGTCTAACATTTGAATTTTTAAAAATCAACTTCACAGGAACAAGATTAGGGAGTCATGATTAGGACAAAAGTTTGGCCAAAAATATCTGAAGGTTTTAGTGGATGACAAACTCAAGACAAGTCAATAGCATGATATTGTGGCTAAAAATCTATTGCAGTCTTAGGCTTCATTGAGAAAGGACAGACTCTAATACCAGTTCTGCTCTGTTTAGACCTCATCTAATGTAAGATGTTCCATGTGAATTTTGTGTTCAGTTCTGCACACCACAAAGAACATGCAAAGGAGAGTAATATGTTTGGAAGTTCTCAAATTAGTGTCACATGTTAAATATACACAGGGAACCTTCAGTCTAGAGAAGACTTAGGAGTAACATGTCTTTGAGTATTTGAAAAGCTGTTACATGAAAGAGGGGTAGCTAGGTGGCACAGTGGATAGAGCTCCAAGCCCCAAATCAGGAAGAACTGATTTCAAATCTGGCCTAAGAAACTTACTGGCTGTGTGACCCTGGGCAAGTCACTTAACCCTATTTGCCTCAGTCTCCTCATCTGTAAAATGGGGGTGATAATAATCGCACCTACTTCCCAGTGTTGTTGGGAGGATCGAATGAGCTAATATTTGTAAAGTGCTTAGTGCAGCATCAGGTGCACAGTAGGCACTATGGAAATGTTAGCTGTTATTAAATTTTTTTAACCTGGTCCAAGAGAGCAGCATTAAGAATGATTGGTGGGGTTTTCTAAGAGTCAGCTTTAGGCTTGATGTAAGGAAAAGCTTCCTAATGATGAAACCCTATATCCAAGCGAAACAGGCTACCTCGGGCAGAAGTTCTTCCTCAACAGAGATCTTCAAGCAAAGGCTGAATGACCACTTCTCAACTATGTGACAGAGAATGTCCTTGTTTAGGTTTGGATTGGACTAGATGGTTCATCTGAGGATCCTCTGTGGTTCTGGATTTGGGGCCAGTGGACCTCTGTTCAAATCTCAGCCCTGACATTTAGAATTAGTATGACCATAGTAAATCAGTTAACTGATTTAAGATGAGGCCTCAGGTTCTCATCTGGGAAATAAAGGGATTATACTAGATGATCTCTGGAATCTCTGGACCTCTAAGTCTATCATCTTCCCATAGGTTGCAGATAAGGACTTGGCTATTCCCCAAAGGAAAGGCACATAGTGAAAACCCAGCAACATAAAGCACTTGTCCACTGCCCACTTTTCAAGACCAAAGAGGAACAGAATTAGGAATGATTGGAGCTAACCCACATTGGTCACCAATAGCCATCATACATAATCTTTCATTTCCATCTTACTAATAAATATGTTCTTTTTCTCATTTGTATCTCTTTGCTTTTTCCAGGTAATGATTTTTCTCACCCACATTCAAGTACTCATGAAATAAGAGATTCAGAGAGAAAGAGTAGCAAAATTCAGCAGAAAACGTTTGGTGCCAGAAGTTCCAAAGACCTTATGGATGATGGAACCAACCAGAGTGGCCTCCCAGAAGAGCTCATAGGTAGCCAACCATTCCATCTTGCCTGCTGTGTGCTTGTGATTTGACAGGGATACAAAATAGTATACCTGGGCAGAGCCACGAGATCTCTGATGGTCACTACACTAACAAAGAAATTCAGCATCAACTTTGGGAATGCCAGTGGAGTGAGCGCTCACCCCGAAGCTTCATTCCTAAAGAGTCAGTACATGTTTGAAGGTTTCACTGCACCAACATGCACTGCCAAGCCATTTGGGTTTTCCTCATCCCTGGCAAGGGCAAGGTGATGACATAGCCTCGTTGTGCTAATGGAGAAGGCATTAGGTACCCTGTTTACCCAGCACACACCACCCAGAGTTATCCTATGCCTTCCAGGTGAAAGTGAGCCCAATAAACAGAGCGAATGTTAGAGTGGTCCAGAAAGAAGCCAGAAATTTCTCCCAGCCACATTTTAGCTCAGGGCAGATCTAAGAATTGCAGAATTTGGGAGCCACTCTTACAGAAAAAGTATGGCCCCAAAACACTATTTATCAATGATGCCAGGTAATGCTACTTAGCTTTGTTTATTGGCCATTTATTGACTTTCTGCTTGCATGGAAGAATGGATGTCTTCATCTTACCTTTTATAGTGAAAAGCTGAGGTCAAAGCCAAGTTTCTTCAAAAGAAAGTTACTGTCCCTTAGAAGCCATTGGAACCTTCCTAATTCCCCTCAAATCAGGTAGAACCTTCCTAATTTCTCTATCAGTGGTCACATCATAGAATTGGCTTGACCCAAAGGGACTTTAGAGAACGTCATCTGGCCCATAGTGTAACAAAATGACTATTCTTGACAATGATGACGATGATGATGGTGAGGTAATGGTGGTGGTGGAACAAATTTTGGGGGCCCCTGAGGATACATATGCCAGCACTAAGGCCATTCTATAAAGAAGCAACATGGAATAGTACAAAAAATGCTAGAGCTGGGATCAGGAAAAACATGGGCTGAAATCCCGCCTCTAACATTTCCTATCTAGATGACCATAAGGAATTCACTCAGCCTCCCTGAACCTCATTTTCCACAACAATACCCCTGGTACTCATTTGGCAGAATTGTGTTGAAGATCGATGTAAAGTCATTTGTAAACATTATAGTACTATTGTGTGTCAATTATTGTTAAGTTCTGGGCCCTTGAGCTAATCACACCATGTGCCTGTCCCACTTACCCTTCAACATATTTATACAGGTAAAATCTTGGTTAAAATGAAAGTCAAGGGCAGTGTGGTAGAGAAAAGAAAATAAGAGGAGATGTGATAAAAGGGCAGTGTGCAGCCCGAGGAGCCTGTTTGTAGGAAAGGAAAGAGGGGGCACTGTTGCTAGGCAGCCAGTCCCAGTTTTGCCAACATTTGCTTCAGTGACAGGGAATTTTTATAGAACTGCCTCCAAAATCTTCTTTTAAAGCACTAGCTGGTAAAGTTACTTCCCTCTCCTCCTTCCACCCTCTATCTCCCTGAGTCATTAGGCAGCATTTCCCCCAAAACCCATGGCTTGAAGTCATCACCTTGATCCACAGTAGGCTCTTGTCAGCACCCAAAAACATACAACTGTGTGTATGTGTAACTGCCTGCAGGGCTACAAAACATGTTTTTTTTGGTGTGTTTTTGTGTTTTGTTTTGTTTTGTTTTTGTGAATGGGATGATCTCTTGACTTTTCACTCCCTCTGGTATGCTAGTCCTGCTAATTCAGGGACTCTTTACCTGAGGCTTGTGAACTTGGTTGTTCTTTTAAAATATATATATTTTGATGACTGTATTTCAATATAATTTGTTCCCACTACACTTAAAAGTATTATTCTGAGAAGGGGTCCTTAGGCTTCACCAGACTACCAAAGGGGCCCACAACACAAAAAGAGGTTTTAGTTAGAGCCCCTGGGCTAATTAATGCCTTGTGTTTCTTTTCAAGGGAGTTCTCAGGACCCAGCACTTGGAAACATCTTGATGGGGCCTGCTGGAGATATTGTTTGCCAGCCTCTCTTGGGTTCTGTCCAAAGCATAGACCTCCCTCTTCAGCTTGACTTTGCATCAGGTCAAGGTAAGATGACACACTCCAGGTCAGTCTCTTTTTCAAAGGGAAAAATTTTGCCTGTAGCTCCTAAAACTTCCCAGTGATAGAGAGACATCATTAAAATCAGACTAAAGTCAGCAGTTTTCCCCCTCTCACTGACACAGTGCTGCTTCTGTAGCTCAGTGCAATAAGCTAATGTTTGCATAACAAGTTTACTCACGCTGGAGAATCTTGGGAGAGAAGTTCCAGGCCTGGGCCTCACTCGGAGGAGGAGGGGGAGGAAGTCTAATGTACATGGTTGATTCCTTGATGAGAATGATAACGCCCCTTTGGTATTTGCCCAAACTAAACACTGCCCTTCTTTTCTTTCTAGCCAACCTCTAGAATCAGAGGTGGCTAATTGGTAAGCGGGTCAAGTATTCATGTTATGTGCGTCGGTTCACCAGTGTGAATCATCTGGCTCCTGACAGATATGTAAAGCAATTTCTAAAAACCCTTCTGGCATGTTAGCTTATTGGGAAAGGGGATAGCTTATTTTGGGGTTAGAGCAGTTTTGCAAAGCAGTATGCAAAAAATATGAAGGCAGACAGTAGAGTGTCAGATAATAAATATTGTGATGGATTTGCATCAATATGGCCACCAGGAATGTTGATGATAGAGATAAAGAATGCAGTGATCTAGGAGGTTGATGTCATGGCTTTTCAAGTGATGAGAGTCAAGAGAGTAGGATGCTAGATCAAACTTTTTGTCTAGCTGGGTGAACTACAGCAAAGCAAATCTCTCTCGGTCTTATTTTCTCAACTAGATAATTTTTAAAGTTCCTTCTAATAAGTGAGTGAATGAATAAAGTTCCTTCCAGCTCAAACATCCTATTATTTTCTATCATGGTGCATCACATTTGGGTGAAAAGTACTTTCCTGCTATTGAAATAGCCACTTTTGGTCCATGGGGTTCCAGGGGTTCATAGTTAGTGGTTGTTTCCTTTGAATGACATTTCATTTAAAAGTCCGCTTGTATATTCTTTCCAGTCCTTCTATGAATGTGTGCAACTTGACAACAGCTGCTGAATCTTATTCTGCCTGGATTATACCAAGAAATGACTACAAATGCTACTTTATTCTACAGTTTTTAATACTGGTTTCAGTGGACATTCTAATTAGACAGGAGTTGACCACCATCAGCATTACCCAATTGGTATAAAAGCTGGAAAGTAAATGCTGTATCAGTAGTAAGTAGCACAGTAATTTAGGATATTAAAAGCAAAGTCATTCTAGCCAAAATCATCCTTTCTGGTGATGGTCAAAGGAGAAAGGGCAAAGTTTGAGCTACTGAACAAGTTTAAGCCACACTACAAATGGCGGCATGGAGCACTCAAAGAGGAATCCTACAATGATTCACAAAATACAATGACTTGTCGATTGTGAATCATGGTGCAGGGGGAAAAGAACACAGTTGACAAAATAATTAAAAATACAGAAAAGATCTTGCCTCATGACAGTGATGGGCAAACTTGGGTTTGAGGTCAGGAAAAACTTCCTAACAAGTACACCTATCCAAAAGTGGAATGAGTTGCCTCAGGAATTGGTAGGTTCCCCTTCTCTGGTGGTCTTCAGTCAAAGGCTTAATGACTACTTGGTAGGTATGTTGTAATGTGATGTTGTTGTTCTTGTTTCAAGGGGAAGGGAAGAGAGCTGGCATTAAGCTAAGTACTTCACCAACATTTTATTTTATCCTCACAGCAACCCTGGGAGGTAGGTGTTATTATCATCCCCATTTTACAGTTGAGGAAACTGAGGTAAACAGAAGTGAAATGACTTACCCGGAGTCACACTAGTAAATGTCTAAGTCCTGATTTGAACTCAGTTCTTTCTGACTCCAGGCCCAACCCTCTATGCCACTTGCTGCCTATGATACAGGTTGCTCTAGATAGCCATTGAAGTTTCTTCCGGCTCTGCAATTCTACATGATTCTGTTTATTTGATCTATATTGAACTTGCAGTTCACTAAAACCCTCAGGTCTTTTCCACATGAACTATCTATTGTTTGTTTTCGTTGCCCCATAATGTACTTGTACTGGTGATTTTTTTTTAAACCAAGTAAGGAATATTTCACATATCTCAATTAAATTTAATTTTATTCAATTTGGCCTGTCATTCTAACCTGCAAGAACATTTGTATCCAGATTCTATTATCTAATGTATTTGCTATCCCTTCTAGTTTCATAGTATTTACAAATTAGAAAAGTATTTTTGTTGTTCAGTTTTCATCACATCCGACTTTTTTGTGACCCCATTCGGGGTTTTCTTGGCAAAGGTCCTGGAGTGGTTTGCCGTTTCCTCCTCCAGATCATTTTACAGATGAGGAAACTGAGGTAAGCAGGGTCCAGTGACTTGCCCAGGATTACACAGCTAGTAAGTATCAGGTCAGATTTGAACTCAGGAAGATGAGTCTTCCCGACTCGGAGCCCAGCGCTCTATGCACTATGGCGCCACCTAGCGGCCTTAGAAAATATATTATTTATGATTCTATGCAAGTCATTGATAAAAATGTTGAACAGAATGGAACAAGAAAACTCTCTAGTATATACTCCATTACAAATTTCTCTGAGGGTTGATATTAATCATAAGATGATAGATTTAGATATAGAAGGAAATTTAGCCGCCTTTGAGTCCAATCCGCTCATTTTCCATTAATGTCTTTGCTGTTATCCATGATTTTTTAAAGCATTCTCTAAGTGACTCAATGATTATATCCTTACTTTCTTTCAGTGCCCTGAGGTGTAGTTTATCTGATACTGTTGACATGAATTCATTGAGGACAGCCATCTCTTCGTTTATCTTGGGTTCCAACTCCCTGCTAAGAGTTTTTGTTCTCCATATTAACAATTTAGGCTGGAGTTTTGATTTCATGTGAACTATATTCCTATTTTTCTTTACAGTTTCCATTGTTAATTTGTTCCTAAGCTAAGTTTCTGACTTGTCTCTTCAAAAATGCTTCTCTGGGGGCAGCTAGGTGGTGTAGTGGATAGAGCACTGGCCCTGGATTCAGGAGGACCTGAGTTCAAATCCAGCCTCACACACATAACACTTACTAGCTGTGTGACCCTGGGCAAGTCACTTAACTCCATTGCCTAGCCAAAAAAAAAAGCTTCTTTCTTCCTGATAGATTCATATACTAAGTTTTTTTAATGTGTCATTTTCTAGGGGCACAGAATTAGAGGAATCGAATGAATGATCCAAGAATGTTCCAGCTGACCCTAGGTTTTCTTTGACCATTAGAGCAAGAATATGCTCAGTTGATTAGCTTTTTCCTTTTTTTCCTCCTTTTTGCCACTTAAAATAGTGTTTTGGTTGGGAGTCTGTTTAGCCACCCATCCATCTCACCTCCCTTACTATACTTCCTGGGTTCTCTGGGATAGAAGGTCCTCTTTCATTAGTGGGATTGTTGGTAAAATATAGCTTTTCCTCAGGAGCTATCTTCTGAACAGCTATTCTTCCTAACGCCCACACTTAGGGATTTTATATGAAGTTGTTTCTCTGTACCAATATCACCCAACTGAAGTGTGTCATTCTTTCTAAGAAGGACCTCCTCAAAACACTTCTCCAAACTTAAATATTAAAAATTTACATTGTGCTTTATAGTTTCAAATGTGCTTTACATTTATTATCTCATTTTGATGCTCATAACAACCTTGTGAAGTGTTATTATTATTATTGCCATTTTATAGATAAAGAAACTAAAGCTGAGAGAAATCAAGTGATTTGCCCAGGGTAGCAAAGCTAGTATTTGAGATAGGATATAAGCTCAGATCTTTCTGACTCCAAGTCCAGCACTCTATCCATCAATCCTCATTATATGGGTATATCTTTCCAATCTTGGAGGGAGCCCTGATAGGGAAGGCAAAGGGGGGAATTCCTGAGAGCACTTTGACATGGCTCCCTGCTCCCAGTTGTTTCTGGCCACAGACTCACAAGGAATGTCAGCAGATATCACCAACAGAGGACAATTCAGGAAAGACATTTTAGGGGGGAAAAAAAACCCAGCATGACATAGTGGGGCTTAATAGTCAGGAAGACCTGGTTCAAATCCCACTTCTGACACTTATTAACTGGGTGACTCTGAGCTACACATGCTTTCTCTTCACGTCTCAGATAACTCCCTAGGACAAATTGTTCAAATCATAAACAACTTGAATTCCCCATGATAACAAAACCTTTTTATGTGTCTTATTTTGTTTTGTTTTGTTTTGTTTATTTGTTTTCCTCTTGGGGGGGGTGAGAAATGCCTTTATCGGCCAAGAACAAACCATTCATTTACAACCTGGTTGGTTCGTTGTGGGTTTTTTTTTTTCCTTACTGTCTTATTTTGAATGACAAGAACACCTTAATAGAGCTTATGAGAGCTGTGCATTAGGCTTAAATCTGTAAATGGGAATGGCCTGGACCTATCAGATGTGTAATGAATCCTCAAATATTTGAGAAGTCTTGGAAGCATTGTGATAACAAGAGAGCAAAGTAGAGGATCTTTTCTTTCACCTTCATGAAACTTAATGTGGTCACCATGACTCCTATTGGAGGGATCCCCCAGAGTCCTCAGTTCAGAGAGAGATACTTCACTTTGAAGCATATCTCCAAGAGTATCTAGAAGGTAAATGTAGCAAAGACAGTACTCTACTCCAGCAACTTGGCTGAGAATCTAAAGCTATTTCCATGGCATCTGGATTAAAAAAAAAAAAAAAGACAAACATTGAGAGATCAGAGTCTGCCTGAGATCAATTTTTTTAAAAATTAAGAGAACAAAAAAATTAGTAAAATATTTGCTTAAGTTCTACCTCATATATGAGTGTGTGTGTGTGTGTGTGTATTTACACAAATACTTCATTGTCTTTGGGTTTCTTTCTCTCTTAGTTCCATTTCTCCCAATCTTTGGTTATTCCAAGCCCACCTTAAGTTCTATCTCTGCTAAGAAGCTCACTCCAGCCCACAATAACATTTCCCCTCTCATTGCATGAGTTTGTAGTTTCTATG